CATTACAAAGTCCTTAAAATGGACAGGTCTTTTTCCTATCCTCTTGCTAATGGGCCCATTCTCAGCTGGGCTTGGGTCTCCAGACCGTTTCGTTTCAGCCAACGATGTTGAAGCTTGAAGGAAGCTACCGTGCCAGCACTGCAGGATGATCCTATTAAGAGATTGTGTGTTTCTGCGTTTGAAGGGCCCCAGTTAGTCGTTAGGACGAAGGAGATATGTTTGATAATTGTGTCCTGGACCGTACCGTAAATAAACAGAACAAGCTCTTGAGGCCCAGCAGGCTCCACTGACGGACCTTTGTTTATTTAATCCTGATTTAGGGATGAAGATTGGAGAGAGAAAGAAAATAAAAGTCTAAAAAGTTATGGATCTTATAAGAGTTATGTTGTAGAAAAAATAATTGTGTAATGTTATAGAGATTCGTTTTACGTGCCGTAATTTTTTTTTTTTCAAAAAATGTGGGCTCTACAAAATATTGTATGTGTAGGAAAGTTTGTTGTGTCATGTTAAATGACAAATGCAAACCCCAAAAATTATATATAATATATGGGTTTTTGTTTTGTCCTTTAACATGACACAAAAAAGTTTTCTTCACACACCACATTTTGTGGGACCTGCACTTTTTAAACCAAAAAAAAAAAATTAAGACACGCACAACAAATTTATATAACATTACACAATCATTTTTCCTGCAACATAACACTTATAAAACACATAATATATTACAAAACACTTTATGTCTTTCCAATAGTGTCGCTCTTTAAATTCTTGTGATTTTTTTTTTTTTAAAAAAAAAAAAAACCTTGCTTACCTCTTTATTATAGGAAGATTTTTTAACTAAAACACAGTTCATGTTATTTGATTATTAAACGGTACTAAAGATAAAAGAATTTTATTTCTTTTATTCCTTTATTTATTTAGCTTGTACTTTTAACAATATTACTAGTTTTCATCGAGAAACAGCAACAGTGTAGCCTATTGTGGTTTAATTTGAAAATGAAGAACGAAATAGATAATTAAGATAAAGCATGTACCAGGTTGATTACTGTTGATAATGATTTTTCTTAAACTCATGTTGCAAAAAATGAAATTAAAAAATTAAGAAAGTGAAAAACCTATTTTAAACTAAGCACTAGCTTGACATAAATTTATAATTAAAGATCATACAATCATTTAGAAAGATTTTAAGTTTAACTCGACACTTTGATTTTGCTGGTTTTTTTTTCGGGATTTTTTGGAAAGTTTGATTTTAAGGCCACAATTAAAATGATGGGGAACCAGGCTGAAGTCAGCCTGATCAAAACGAATAATTAAGATCCAAATTAATTACCAGCCAATCCCAAATATGGAACAAATCTTTGGTATTCCGTAATACCATATATCTTTGTAAAATGGATAAAAAGTTGGAATTTAGATGAAAAAAAAAAATAAAGATATTGATTTAAATAGAGATAAAAACTTACTTTTTAACAAAATGGGAGTACCGAATACAGTACTTCGTGACACCAAAGAAAAATTCTCAAACATGATACACTGGGCCAACTTAATATGGCCAACAATCTAGCCCACTTACATTTTGAAAGGAAAGTGCCTCTCAATTTGAGGCTTTAGGTTGGGATCCATGTAAATAGTGAATATCCAATCAAGATAACTAAGTTTACTCAAGTGACAAAGTGGGTAACCTGACCCGCCTTGCCTCCAAAGTGGGATTCATGGAAATAGTGAATATCCAATCAAGATGACTAAGTTTACTCAAGTGACAAAGTGGGTAACCTGACCACCTTGCTTCCAATTTGCCTTAAAATGACCCAATCCGTCACACTTGAAAGTGGTTTGAAAATTTTAACCTGCCTCCAACTCGCGTTGCTCCGTCAAACCGCCAACATATTAGAAAAGTAAAAAAAGAATTCAAAAATTATATTTATCTTAAATGTAAAAAGTATCAAATGAAGATAATAGAGGTATAAAAAGGTCATTAATGATTGTTTTTCAAAAATAAAAAATCAACTCAATGGGTCAACTCATTTTGTGGTAGGTTGAATCCGTTTGACCCAAACCGTCATTTGTGGCCGGTTAAACGGATCAATCCAACAAATTGAAGTCTCATTTTATCATCTCTTTAGTGTCAGGACTTCACTCTTCAACAATGCTACATACACATGAAAGTATTTAACAAAATCCATACAGAATGTAGATGAGTAAATTTCTCTTTGAAAGCTATATATTCTTTACGGGATCAACTAGAAGCAATGAAACCAAATGATGGTAGCTCAGTTGGTGCCGGGAGGAATTTAAAGTCTTAATTCCGGGACCCACCCAAATCGAACTAGTTGTGAAACAATGAACCAATTGAAATATCTAAAAAAAAAAAACTATAAGCAATGAAAAAACAAACATTACCAACAACTATTTGTTTAAGAGATAAAGAGCTTGTTCCCTTAAGGAAAGCTCTAGAGCTCAAGCCCTGCTTATTATGATGGTCTAAAATTGAATCGAATGTGAGATAATGGTTGCTTTAATATTATTTTCCCTATTCATGAATTGCAAGAGGAAATGAATAACGTGGCCATTGTTTGGGTTAGTTGAAATTTGAAAGTTTTAGGTATTGCCAATTGCCATAAATTAGAGTTTGAGAACAAATAGTTTTCGGAAAACTACCCTGATATGAGAGCTTTAATTTTGTGCTCCAGATGCACATCCCAATCAATGGACCGAAAGTGAGAAGAGAAGAGAGATAAGATAGAAAAATATTTTTTTTTCCTCAAAGTGTCGTCTTTTTAGTGGAAGGACCATCATGGGCCAAGATCACTTTAAATTTTTTCCTAATATGGATCTCAGTAATGCTCGAAAAAATTAAGTCGGGTAATCGATGAATTATTAAAGAATAAAAAAAAAATCATGTTGTTTAACTTTATTTCTTATTATTTATCCTTAAGAAAGAAGATATAGCAAGTTAGCAACACAGATTTTAGGATGGTATATATATTGACTAGAGATCATTCATTGTTAGTAAATGGAATAGTATAAAGTTGAATCGAGTGTGATATAAACATTGCTTTAATATTGTTGTTTTCCCCATTCGTGAATTGGAAGAGGAAATGAATGTGCGGGGTCATTGTTTGGGTTAATTGAAATTTTGAAAGTTTTAGCTGTTGCCATATATTAGAAATTGAGTACAAATCATTCATTTGTCACCGGCTTAGCTTGCGGCATTATTATTGCAAGAATGGTCTATCTGAATCTGCAGTGTTAAAAAAATTATAAAATTATTCATAAATTTTAACCCAGGTTTAGATTTCGATTCTTGCATTCCCATTTTTTCAAAAAAAAAAAAGAAAATTAAGTACAAGGTAATCACAAAAAAAAAAAGAAGCTTGTATATTATTCATGTCTCAAACCCTATTCGCATAAGAGAGTGTTAAGAGATATAATAAAACTATTAATATAGTTTCATTCAAGTACTTAAACTTTTGGAAGAAAAGATTACTTGTTTAGTGACAAAAACACTCCCCCTTATATGCAGCTTTTGTACATAGAGGGTAGAATCATTTAATTTAATTGCTCAACAAATGACTAAAAAGGCATGTGATAATACAATTATTGAGCAATAATCATTAGCAAATAAAAAAGAGAGAGTAGTTGAGGTGGGGTTGTATATTAAAAGTGGAATTGGTGATTAGCTTCCACCGTTCCACGGCCATATTGATGCTTCCACAGCAGCACGAAAACGACACGGCGATAACAAGCTCAGTCACACCCTGCCAAAGGACGAACTATAAGCCCAGCCCAGAACGATCTATCAACCAGAAATGCCCAATTTCAGACAAGTCAAACCATGTACGTAATTTAGCTCTTTAAGTCCTAACCGACGAAAACAACGTAGCTGCGTAACCATTGTTTCCATATTGTTTGATTTTGGAAATTATGGACAGAGCCGTATACATGTGTCCGAATCGAAGTTATGCTCAAATCTTCGTTCTTTGCGTGTTGAAAGTGAGATCTAATATAGTTATAACGTTCTTTGGCTTATGTTTAACTTCAGGGTATTTCAGCCTTTTACTTATTAAATAGATGAGTTGGTTTTTCTGCTATTGATGTATATAAGTTATTTATATTGAGTCCAAAATGACGTTGTTTTGAGACAGAATTTAAAATATTTTTGTAATTATAATTTATTTCAGAATTATTATAGTCTTTCTCGTTACAATTTTTTAATCTTTCAACAGAAAACGATATCATTTTAGAAATGAATATAGATAACTTATCTACTATAGAAATATTAAATTCTAAATTGAAATAGTTTAAGTTTGGTTAATTTTACCTAAATAGATTTAAATTTATTTTGTAAAAAGTTGGCCTAAACCACACCTACTACTTATCATGGACTTCTTTATTTTTATTTTAGCTTGACTTTTTCGGTAAAAGTAAAACGGTTAAACTTTTGCCTGACCTAAAAGTTTATTCAAAACATACATTATATGATATTTTAAGAAATTTATACTTTTTCATTTTTAAATTGATATAATTATATCTAATAAACTTATTATTTTCTAAATAAAATGAAAATATTGTATTAATTTATAATAAATGAATTACATCAGTATTATAAATAAATATGTTGACCTGATAATCTAAATCAGTTTTTTTTTTAATTAAGTCTTAGTTTACTTGATTAAATAAATACTTTTAAATGTTTCACTTATGTGATAAATATGTTATGTTTATCTAATATTAAGAATATTAGATTAAAAAGGTGTAAAGTATTAGTAGCAAAATATAAATACTGTCGACTTATTTAAAGGTCCTCCAATGCTTAACTAGCATTGGATTCTGATTAAATAATCATTGTTTCTGATTTTCTATTTGTGGTTTTGTACAGATTCATGGATCAACCATTGTTTATTAGCAGTGCCTGCGCTGTGGCACTGGACTAAACAGTACAAGTTAGCAAACTACTATCGTTAAGGATAAGGACGTAGAATACAAAAGCATTAATTAAATATAAGGTGACGCATCAACTTTCCATCTGAAAAGTTGTGCTGATCTTTTCCTTTCAACAATTTTCATCATCAAGAGGGATTACAACCAAAGGTTTGTTGTCCTTAACTTATCATAGACCCGACAGTCATATATTACATACAATTTATTATAATGACTAAAGATAGAAGATTAGATGCCCCACTTACATCACAATGGTGCCCAAAACCAACATAATTAAGCTACCATAAAAAGCCAGAAAGAAGAGCACATGTCATAGAGTCATTGGATTGGAATCACATGATTAATTATAAAAAGATAGAGTAAAATTGGAGGATTAATTGATTAGTTCAGCGCATAATTACGGAGTCCAATTCCGACTTGAAAAAAGGGGCATCTATTTGGCTCTGTCTTTAATTATATCAAATCCCATCTCAGTTGGATCAGTAGCCTGCACTTCATAGCAGATTCCATCCAGAGCCCTTCTCAACCCATCCTTTGAAGTTGCGTATAGCATCTTTGCTCTTATCCTTGATGCTGTTGGAGACCTGAAAATTTTAGTGAAAAAAACCCCTTCAAACATCAATCATCGTATTTAGATGGGATAGACTATTATACTTATCATTTTTTGTCTATCACTCTAAAACAACATTAGATCAGAATCTTAATTAACATTTATCTTTCTTTTTCTTCTCGAGATTCTGATCTAACGATACTGTAAAGAGTGATAGACAAAAGTAAACAGAAAGAATGATAAGTAGAATCCCCTATCCCTATTCATATTCATAATCCATTTTCCCTTACCATCTTTTCCTACAAGATTATTAGTACTAGAGTCATAATTTATACAAGTACCACCACATAGATGATACTAAGTAACCATGGCATGACATGAATAAATTAATCTAATCTAAAGTTTTATTGGTAAGTAAATTAATTATATACCATGCAATGAAGAAGATCTTGCTCTTGCGGCAGTTATCAACTGTGACAAAATCGAAGTCGAAAACAGCGTATCTACAATCATCATTGGGCAAGGAAGCGGCGAGATCAGCATAACCCTCGCCGGGACCACCCACCTTATCAACGGTGACAAGCTTTGACCTTTCATCAATCTTGAACACTATGTATCTGTGAACCTTCTTCCACTTCATCTCCATGAATGAGTTCTTGCACTCATCCGTTACCCACATCCCAGTAGTTGCCTGTTAATTAGTGTTAATTCACAATCAATTAGTAATTACACTAAGCACAACACAATTCACAATCCTAAAATCATCATTAAGCTTAAGCATATATTAATGAAAACAAACAACACTCACACTTCCAGTGCAGATGATGATCAAAATCTAATAAATAGAATGAAAAAAAAAAAAAAGTTACAGATGCAGATGAAGAGTACCATTTTGAAAGCCATCGCCATTGTTATCAGCTGAGGAGGAAAAACAAGCTAGTATCACTCTTTTTTTTTATTTTATTTTTCTTTAAAGTGGTGGGTGGGACTGGGTCTATATATAAAGAGGGTCTCATTGAGATTGCCATTGGTATTTCCTCTTATTTACAGTTTTGTCCTAGATTATGTCTCATATTTTTTATTTATTAATTAAAAAAGTTTATTGAAAAGAAGAAGAAGAAGTATTTCATTCAATGCCCATTGGAATGGCAGATCTCCTATTCAAAAATATACTATAAAAATGAATATACTTTATTACAAAATTGAATCTTTTCTTTAAATATTTTAGTTGATATTGGGTTATTATATACATGCACTGAGTTTTGTAATTGGAAGGAATTTATTGACTAAAATTACAAGTCATTATTACTTTTACAATTTGTCCATGGCAAACATAAATCAGTAACCTTATGGTTGTATTTTTGAGTCAGTAAAAATGTTTGATATAGTTGTATTTTTATTTATTTTTTTATAACAATATAGTTGTATTTTTGAGTCAGTAAATTAGTAAATACCCCATCGTAACAGGGACCCAAGTTTTTCACGTTAAACAAATGTTTGATATGGTTGTATTTTTGAGTCAGTAAATAAATATATACTTATCATTAATATAATTTAAGATATATTTTGATTTTAACTCGTTAAATGATTTAAGAATAAATATACTTTATTTGTTTGTGAATTTAATTTAAAGGAGGCTTTTTCGTACTTTTTCTATTTATTTAATATAAAATTAAATAAAAAATAAGTATTTAATACTTAGGAATCCAAATCATTTAATATTTTCCTTTAAGTCATTAGAAGGATTATTAAGCTAATTCATTAAGAGGAAATGAAATTATTGTTATTTAGATAAATTTTATATCTTTTAAATAGATTTTCTAACAATTTTTAAATTACTTAAAACACAAAGCATTAAATAAAAATTAAAACATTTAATATCTTAAAATAAAATACTAAAAATCATTTATCACCTTTTTTTTATACATTACTGAGAATTGAACACACAATCTAATACAACTTATCCAAACTTCTCTCACACTATATCAATCATAGTGGCTTTAACACCTTTTTTTGACATTTAAGATGATATATAATTATTTTTCTTTTAATTACTTACCATTGTCACTCATAGAGTAATAAGGAAGAAACATATATTTGCCATAAATAGAAGAGCTCCCAAAACAGGCCAGCCTCCCAAAATTATAATGTTAAATTTTTTAATATTTTTATTATAATCAAAAATATTTTAATAAATAAATATTTAATACTTTCATATAAAGTTCTATTTAAAATATAATTATTTTATAACTTAATTTTAATGAAATAATATTTACACACGAATACACAAGTAAAAATGTAAGCAAAATTTTAATATAAGTAAAAAATTAATTTTATTATCTCTGCTAAGTTTCGTTGCAAAAATGTTATCATAAAATTTTTCTCACCAGAAGTCTAGTGGAAAACCAAAATGAACTATGAAAAAATGATCTTAGTATCAATGTTGAGCAATTATTTTTAGTATGCTACATATTTAAAAATTAAACTATTAACTTTTTTTAATTACCACCCTTATAAAAACTTTTTTATATATTATTATTCATAAAACTACAGTATGTTTCATTACAAATTTGGATACTTACTTTAAACTTTTTTTTTGTTTGCATACTTACTTTCAGAGGTGACAAAGTGGGCGACTCGTCCCGTCCCGCCCCGCCCCGTCAAAAAATGAGCTAGCCTGCTTTTGGAAATAGACTGAAAAATCTAGTCCGGTCCGCCCCGTTTGGCGGGTTGGACGGGTTGGCCCGACAACTCGAGCATATTTTACACTGACCTGCCTCGGCCCGCCATCAACCCGCCAAAAAATGAGCCCGCCCCGCTTTTGAGATGAGTTAAAAAACTCAACTCACCTCGTCCCGTTTGGTGGGTTGGACAGCTTGGCCTGCCGAGCCGAGCCCGTTTTGCCGGGTCTACTTACTTTAAACTTAATTATGGAGAAATAAATTATTTTTTTGTCATTTACTTAAAAGTCTTCAAACTTGATTAAAATATATTTATTATATATTCTACAAAATTATATATATATATATATATGAGGAAGGTTATACTTACAACTTTTTTTTTACAACCTCTTGCAACCATATATCATAACCGTTGATTTCCGCCAATCAACGGTTGTCATTTATTATGAATTAATAATTAATGAATTTAATTTGCGAAAATTATAATCGTTGATTGGCGGAAATCAACGGTTATGATATATGGTTGTAAGAAGTTGTAAAAAAAAAGGTTATAACTATAACCTCTCCCTATATATATATAAAAGTATCTTTTTTTTGTAAGCTATAAAGGTATATTTTTAGGGATAGGATATTGTGACACCCAAGTTATGTTACACCCATGTGACACCCAGTCAATCTCACCGTTAGATCGCTTATGTTGATCCAACGGTTATATTTATTTCCATCTTTGTATGGTCATGATTTCCCAAATTTAAAGTGAAAGCATTAAATATGGGAAATCATAACCATACAAAGGTAGAAATAAATATACAATATTAAATTTGGGAAATCATGACCATACAAAGATGGAAATAAATATAACCGTTGGATCAACATAAGCGATCTAACGGTGAGATTGACTGGGTGTCACATGAGTGTAACATAACTTGGGTGTCACAATATCCTATCCCATATTTTTATTATAATGTTATGTTTGTAATTTATTTTATATTTATAAATATTTTTTTGTATTTTTGTATTTTTGTAAATAATACAAATGAAGAAAAAAAATTGGCTCGCGAATAAATCTCAACTTAACCTGCTAAATCATAGGATTTTGGGGTTAGGGTTAGAAAAGGTCTTACACAAAAAAAATTTATTGGATAAGGGTTAAATATAAGATTTTACAGGCTAACCAGCGGTCTTCCATCCGTTTTGACAACTCTATAAATAGTGTTTATAATTTCATTAAATATTAAATGTTAATAAATTATCATTTGGGAATATTGTGGAAACCGGTTATAGTTCGTAGCGCACATAGGATCCTGGCATTTATTTCTTGGTATCCCATTTGAAGTCTCGAGACAACGACGAGCACAAAAGGTGTGATACAAAGTGACCACAAAAGCGAAATTGAAGAAATTACAGATGGACTTAACCCAATTTGGTGATGGTATTTAATTGTTTCCTCTTAAATAGGGGAGATGTGTTATGTCTATAATCTGAATTGCACGAGAGTGGCTAGCTAAATTCTACATGGAAATAATTATAACGAATGAAAAGGACAAGTGTAAGAAAATATCGATTCAAAACTAGAACTAAAATAAACTACAAGCATAGGACCAGCGTAACATTACACAATCTTGGTAATCGCATGAGCAACTTGTGTTGAGCTCTACGTAGTTTAACACATTACTTTCTTAGAAGTTTGCAGCATATACTATAACTATGGTCCCATTTCGGACCACACCCACACATCCCATCACCCTTTTGTGTTTCTGAAAATAGTCTTTGCGTGAAAGCAAAGCAGAGAAGGTGGTACCAAAAACTAAAAAAAAAAAAAAAAAAAAAAAAAAAAAGTAAATAAATATCTTTTTTGGTCCTCAGCAAATTTCACGATGCTCGTTTTAGTCACTAGCAAATAAAAAAACTATTCGTGGTCCTAAGAAATTCAAAACGGACCTATTTAGTTAAAATCATGGTCCCTCGTAAATTCAAAAAAAACCCATATTTGAAGACTAAAATGGGTCCACTTTAAATTTCTTAGGTCCACGAATAGCCTTTTATTTGTTAGGGACTAAAGCGCTGAGCACCGAAAACTATATTTACTCAAGAAAAAACTACTACTCTTTACAAACCAGTGAATCTACTCACTTTTGCGAATCACCGTTCAGTTGTCTTGCCAACTTGGTCATTATCTGTTTGTTTTTATATATCCGTTCGGGTTCTTCTTTCAACTTTGAGATTTCATGTCCCAAGGGCTAAAGTTCTCCCATGCATTTGTCTAAGAAAACGAAGCCAATAGAGTTAACACCGCAACCAATGTCCTACAATTTAGTTGATATTGAGACAATGATAGTGTGACATATGCAATGACTCAGATTTTATTTTAAAATTAATTCAATACATATCACAGTTACACGTACATTCAGTTCTTTGTGTCACACTAGTTATCTTTTCCCGAATGCTTTGCTCTAGCTCATGTTGAGTAAGGAGAAATAGTGATTACAAACACTAAAATCCAGTTAAATAGCCAACAAGATAACTTATGTAGGTGAATAGGGAGGCATGTCCATCGAACGGATGGCCCGCTCCTTGACTTCATAAACTCATGATTAGGCCCATAAGTTGAGGTGGCATGATTCATTATGCAACCCAAGATTTTCTACTCATAAAAAATAAAACAAAAAATTGTGTACGTACTCTGAGGTGCATTAGATCAATCAAATACTTTATAAGAGCGAGCTTCTTCTGCATGGAAGTACTCACTTTTGCGGTGTATATTAATCCTCTGGATTTGACAAAATGGCATATAATATACGCTAACTTTATCTTCTTGGTCCTTATTTTGATTAAATGTATATCTGTCATGGCCATTGATCAGGTTCTGACCCTATACTCCACTTATTATCATTTGGCAAATTGAAGGGAGAGACAACATGCATATCCCATATGCTACATGCTGCTTGTACATTCTGATTCAGAATGATCTCCATTCTTTAGATCTAATCCACCAGGTCAGACAGAGAAAATCATATAGCATAACATATTTGAATAAAATTGAGCCTAGAATTTGAATCATTTAGAGTTGCTGTCTTTTTAGCACAGGCTAGAATTACATCAATTTTGGATCCAAATTGGCTCGCTCCTTGCAGCAAATTATCCTGTGCTAGAAGAAGTGGTGCACCGAGTCAGGCCAAGTTAAGGGCATGGACTACCCACTAAAACAATGACATGCCATGCCATAAGCCATAAGGTTGAAGCCATTGTCACAGATAACATAATGGCTCAATGCATTACAGCTAGTCGACCACCAGACATAACTTCATGCTATTCATTCAGATTGTACTACACATGGCCTTAGCATATAAGTTCAGATATCAGTCACCAGCATCTTGAGGCACTAGTTAAAACAACTAGGCTCAGTTCCTTCGAGTTAACTAATTACCACTGAAAATTGTGAAAAGTCAACAACTCAACATATTTTGTCATGGTCTACTTACAGATTATTGTACCCTCCAAAGGAAATGCTATTGGAAGGGAACAGGCAGGCTTTCTTAATTAACTACCCCTCATTGCACATGTACAAATTATGATTGTATGGTCAGTTGATCACAAATTCACAATCCTATCCGAACCTTCCAATAGAAGCTTTTGTTGAATAACAAGGTAGGTTTAGTAAGAGACACCTCAACAACTGCCAATACCAGCTTTCACGGGATGGCATCGAAGAAACAGAGAACTTTTTTGGGATTGTAAATAAATTTAGGGGTGTAAAATAAAATAAAAAATTCTCTTTTATATATATATATATATAGAGGACAGGATATTGTAACAAACAATTAGAGTTAATACTAATATTACTACCAATCAATTTCACCGTTAGATCGATTATGTTAATCCAACGGTTATATTTATTTTCATCTTTGTGTGGTTATGATTCTCAAATTTAATGTGAAAGCATTATATATGGAAAATAATAACCATACAAAGATGGAAATAAATATCACCGTTGGATCAACATAATCGATCTAACGATGTAATTGATTGGTAATAACATTAATAGTAACCTTAATTTGTTGTTACAATATCATTCCCCTTACATATATATATTCTAACCGATTTAAGAATTAAATTATTTTTTCTAATCTATTTAATGATCAAACTAATTTTTCTAAACTGATTCGCTTTCTGAATTGAACATTTCACCGATTTGATTTGGTTCGGCATAAAAAACCAAATCGAATTATATCCACCTCAAAATGAAATTCAATTACTAGCTAGGCTCAAAATGTTTTTCAATTTTTTCATTGTGTTTGATTTCATATTTCAAGACGAGAGAAAGATACCATCGACCATATGTACAAGCATATCTTTAGTTTTAGGTTTATAAAAATATGAAAAAATGAGTTTTAGGTGAGAATAACCTTAAAAAAGTGGGTAAAATAAAAAAAGTCAATTATATTATTATTTTTCAAATTTAATAAAGAATGCAGTGAGCTCCACAAAGAGAGTGCTGAATATATTTTCTATATGTACGAAGGCGACAACAAGTCAACAATTAACAGATACTATGCCGCGGAACGCTTTGAACAAGAGTATTGGACCAATCAGCATTCATGGTGAATCACCTCCCTCCTTAAGAAGAGATTCTTATATATTTCTGAAGTATGCATTACTCCAATAAAAATATAACACGTGATATTACATTATAATATAGACTGCGGAATTAAAAATAAAATATTATTAAATCAGTTCTAAACAGTAACCAAACTGCTAAGGTTATATCAAAATTTCTCCACCATAAGAGACAACAACCAGATGCAGAGCGCATAATGCAGGTGACAAGGCTCGTGCTCTTGAATATTGATGGAGAATGAATAACATACAGAGTAAATACACTTTTTGGTCCTCAACTCACGATACCCGCTTTAGTCCCTAGCAAATAAAGAGGCTATTCGTGGTCCTTAAAAAATTCAAAATGAACTCATTTAGTTGAAACTGTGGTCCCTCACAATTTTAAAAAAGACCTATATTAGTCCTCAAAAAGACTAAAATGGGTCCACTTTAAATTTCTTAAGAACCACAAATAGCATTGTAAAATTTGGTAAGTACCGCGAATATTTACTCTAAAATACATGTTTTTCAACAATCAAATTGGATTTTAAAAATTAAGCTAGCCCGTTTCATTATCCCAATCCAACTTCCTTTTGTCAGTCAGGCCCGTCAAAAGTAAATGGGCCACAATTTTGGCCCGAAAAATACACTAGGTCTAGCCAAGTCATTTCCAATGCATAAGGACTGATCGGCTGATTTTGACATGTCTAAATCAAAAAGTTTTTGTTCACAACGTAGAAGAAGAAACATATACTTGGAATTGTTGCTTTTACAGTTTTACATGGCTTCGTGACTATGAGAACAGTATACTACAGCCTAAAGGGAATGAAAAGCAAATCTTGGCTCCAAAATAATGGGAATGAAAGCACTATAGAAGTAATACGGATTTTGCTTAGTCCTCCAACAATTTTTTTTATTAGCAGTGTCTCTTCCCAGTTCCCGCCAAACATAATATACATGATATAGGTTACACTGAAAACATAAGTCAACTTTCAGACTAACTAAAATTTTTCCCTTTGTAAAACTTATAAACAAAAACTTCATAGAAGAAACATTCAGAGTATGCACAATAGGCTCACAGATAATTCTTACCCCATACTGTTCATAAAATATCAATCTAAGGTTTCAAAAACATTTGAATCCTAAGAATTATTTAAACACCAAGAGTTCTTGTAGGAATAGATTGTCTGAGACTTCTGCTTATGGGTAGGTGAACGTAAACGTCATGGACGTCTTTTTTACAAACCTCTCCTCTGTCCCGGTCTATTGCATAGCAGACATATATTGTGTCAATTACAAAGTCTAGCACATGCACAAAGTAACCCAGCACTAGTATCAGTAGCACCCAAGCCATTGCAGCCACAAAATATGAATCAGCCCCAAGATTGGTCGCAGCTTTCAAGATAGCACAGACCTGCTTATACATAAACAATTCGACAAACGTAAATAGAAGAAACAGAAAACAACAAAAATAGAAAAAACAAGCTAGCAACAATTTATTAAATAGACAGAACCAACGAACTGGCATCCTTTTTTTTCTCCCCAAAAGCCTAACAAGAGAGGCCTCGGACTTCAAAAAGGTTCATATCATTTTTAAGACATCATATGCCTGGAGTTTTATAAGAAAATGAAGTTTCAGGTAACTTAAATCTTCCTGCAAAGTGCAACCTCTTCTCAGCTCAACAAATATCAAGAAGAAAAGATAAATAAATTGTCCATAATTTATGGATTCCAATTGAAAATGTAGAAAACTTAATGAAAGGATATGTTGCAGGTTGTCGGTCAATAGTCAACATCCATTGGTTACATCCATAAGAAAGCTATACAAATTATCTCAGACTTCAAGAGGGTTAGTTGAAATTTATGCCTACACCAAGAACTTAGACATAGTAGCAAATCTCTAACGCAAAGGACAAGGATTAAAAAGAGAAATATTAATCACACATACCACAATTGTGTATATTGCTGAGAGGACAAAGACAATTCCAGCCAGGATGCGGGATGAGATGGCCTCCACAAATACAGCAGAGAGAAGATTACGTCTTAGAAGTTCATATGTCATCCTTGCAGATGAGCAGTAAGCTTCACCGGTTATTGCAGCAAAGTTTATGGTAAACTTATTAAGAAAATCAACTGCTGTCAGTAAGGCGTTTACACAGCACTGCAGTACAAGTTTCACTATCCCAGGAGCATCCTCTTGTCTAGCACTATCAACCGCAGAGCGCACCACTCGAACAACAAAGATAAGCAATCCTGACAAACACACTGTGCCAGAAGAAGGACCAAAAGCATTTCTGCCAGCCAAATTCTCATGGTTAATGCCTTTCTAAATGTAAAACAATCATTCAATTCGGTTGAATACTACTTTTCATCAGTTTTCCTATCTGCCAACCAATCAAGGAGAATGCTACCGGGAATGACTAAATTACGAAGCAACAAGACACATCACAGGCACTGGTTGTCTTGAACTATGCAAATTTCATAAGCAACCAATTTGAGCCAGTGACATAAATAATAACTGAAAATGAAATTAGAAGAAAAAATTCTCAAACTAAGCATTTTAACATTGATCTAACCAATCTCACACTAGACTTGGTAGATATAATATATGTATTGCACAGATGAAAGATGACAGCGATTACATGCTTTTACCATTGACAGCATTTTCTGTCTATCTAGGAAGAAGTGAACCTAAAAAGGGTGTGAATTGTCACACAATTATTTTACCACATCATAGCAATTGTGATCATATGTCAAATAAATGATAAATGGTCAGAATGAAACATCATATAAGCAACAATGACAAAGATAATTCACCTTAGAGAAGTTCTAATACCCTTCTTAGGAGTTTCATTCTCCTTGGAGAAATACCAATGAGCAATAGTCCCGCTGATGATATAAACTTGGGCTTCAAGCATAGCAGCCGCAGACCACAGCATTGTGATGATTGTCAATGCAAAATAAGCAGGCACCCACGAGTCCTGCCTCCAAACACAATCATATTCACCGTCCAAATCCTTGGGAACAATCTTGCCGTTGAACCTCGCAAACACCAAGAAAACCACGATTGGCACGTAATACACCACAAGCCCAATCGTCAAACAAGGTAGAACCCCCAACAAGCCCAGGTTCCATGAAAGCGCATCGGAGGCCACCCCGATTATGCTCACGGTGAGCTGAACCCGATGCCAATTCACCACCAAGATCCACACGATGACTCCAATCACCAAGAAGATGAACACCATCACCAGAATTCTATACGCCAGAGGGAAAGCGTCGCTGCAAGAAGAGCTGACGGTGCAGGCAACGAACCAAAACACGTTCAAGAAGATGGGGATGACGATGAAGAAAGGGAGGCAAGCGTAGACAACCTGTTTGGTATAATGCTTGAGTGAAAGAAGCAGAGCCCAACACAAGGGCACGCTCAAAATGAAGGTGATAACTAGGGTCCATGTCAAATCCTTCACGATGTTGGAAGAATTGAGCGAGACCCAGATGGGAGATGATGATGATGATGTGGAAATGGAACGCTTGACGCAGGAAGTGGTGTTGGAGTCGTAGGTGTAAGATGAGAGAGTGGTGTAGTTGGTGTTCCTGTGGAAGATGGCGAAGATGCCAAAGGCGAAGGTGGAGAGGATAAAGAGAAGGAAGAGGATGAGGAAAGGTAGGTCCTTGAAGGAACGAGGACCGTGATTGTAAGAGATGTGAAGGTACTGTTGGTTTGAGTCGGATTCATGGGAATCTTGTTCTTCGATTGGGAATGGGGGCTTCGATAGTAAGGGATTTGATGCCGAAGATTCGTATAGAGAATCGGGTTTTTTGTTGGGATCCTCGCTACTACCCATCATACGGTACCCCAAACCAAAGAAACAGAACAACAATGAGTTCGAGTTCGAGTTCGAAGGTCTCACTCTCAGGTTTGAATGGTTGCTGAGGTTATGTTGTGTTGTGTTGTTTGTTGGACTCAAATTTCTCAGCTGAGAGTTGCTCTATTGGGTGAAGGACAAGGACATTTCCCCAATCTAAATTTTTGTATTTTCTGTGTTAAACTCTCAAGATCAATAACAGGAATGTAAAATTTTTGTTTTCTTTTTCTTTTTCTTGTGAAAAGCTAATGATTTTTTTTATGTGGGCAAAGAAATATAATGCACTAGAGAAGCCGCTAAATTCTATGGTTTGAGCAAATCTAACCAAGCCATGAATCAGGATTAATTATTTAGTTATACGTACGAAGGGGAAGGATATTGTAACAATTAAGTTGTGTTACTACTAAGTACTACCAATCAATTTCACCATTAGATCAATTATGTTGATCCAACGGTTATATTTATTTTCATCTTTGTATGGTCATGATTTCCCAAATTTAATACTTTATATTTATTTCCATCTTTGTATGGTTATGATTTTTCATATTTAATACTTTCACTTTAAATATAGAAAATCATAATCATACAAAGATAGAAATAAAATAAAATCGGAGTGTTGCTATTCCAAATGAAATAAAATCGGAGTGGTGCTAGTTGAGGTTTCAGGCTTTTTGCTTTTGTGGGGTGTTGTTGTTGAGTTGAGTGTTTCGTTTCTAAGGATTGGTCACTGTTTCACTGTGCAGCGAAATCGAGCATGTTGATTTTGTGAGGAGATTTAATCGATTAAATTTTTAAGTCAATTATTTTTGTTAATTTTGACCATTTAATCGATTAAATCTTCGAATTAATCGATTAAAGAGAAATATATGGGTAGATAATTTTAAATGAGAGACAAAATAATTATTAATTAATTAATGAAAGATAAAAAGATAAAAAAAAACCGGATGCAATAAAATGTTCCTCGGCCTCGTAACATTTCTCAAATCAACAAAGAATGATTTTATTACTTATTACATTTTTTTTTGTTTCATTTATGAGATATTAGGTCCGACATTATAAAGAGTTTTTTTATTTTTTTGTTGGTTCTACAGCTCAGTGGAATTGAAAGACCAGGATACACACTGGCTATTAAACAAAAGACAGAGCAAGGCAAAGACAACACTAACATGCTCGCCTATTTAGTTATTCACAAAGACATAAGTTACCCTAAAATCTCTCTGGCGTCAGCGTGGCAGAATCTGTTAAAAAAACCTTGAGCTGCAACCCACATGGTTTAAAACCCCATACCGATCTGGCTTTGTACTTGATGCCTTGGCCTTATCTGGTAAACGATATCTAGAAAACTTTTTTTCAACCCATATATATATATATATATATATAGAGGCAGGATCTTTTGACACCAGTGTCAAATTTGAAGTTTGACACCTCATCTGAGAGCTGTTAGATCAAAAAAGATCAACGACTCAGATTTGTAAGCATGTGACATCATTGATCTTTTTTGATCTAACAGCTCTCAGATGAGGTGTCAAACTTCAAATTTGACACTGGTGTCAAAGAATCCTGCCTCATATATATATATATATATATATATATATATATATATATAGGATTAATATTATAGGAAATAATTGTGTCTCCTATACACTAATACACACATAAAAGTATGTGAGTCTCGTATGAAAAAATATGAAGAGAGGAGAGAGATAAAAAAAATTATGAATTCCACATAATAAAAAATAAAATTATCTTTTATAAAAAATAACGATACCTATATATAAGGGGAATAGACTTCCCTTGCAATCGGAGAAGTCTTTTCACTTAGGGAATTGATTTTCTTATTTTACATGAGAAATTTTCTCATGTTACACACACAACACAATACATGAGTGGAGTCCACATCCGTGCCAACCACTTTTTTATTTTTAATATTTTTCTTCAAGCTAGGCCTCACCCAAAAGCTTCAACTTGGAAACCATATATATATATGAGCAGATTTATTATTATGTTAGTGTAAAAATAAAATAATTTTTTTTATATTTATTCAATTAATGTCAAATAAAATTTGAATCAAAAATAAAGATTGATAATATAATTTATATTAATGTAAAATAATGTAAACCATATGTATATAATATACAATAGGTGTGTTCAAAAAATTGTATTTAAACGTGTATTTTTTATTTTTTTATATAAAGTAGGTTAAAAATATAATACAGATAATGCAAAAAAACATTTGTTGACTTGTTTTATTTCTGTCTATTTATTGCCAAACCGCCGATTATTAAGAAAATAAGATCCAGCACAAAGTCAGAAACAAGCAGTTCTTTACAATATGGCATCTTTATTAAATATATTATCCCTTCCAATAATCCAAAACCATTGGTTGGTTTGCCTTGTTTTGATTAATTTTTTTTTTTTGAAAATATTTCCAAGGACATCTCCCGGCCGAAAGTCAATGACTAATCCCCTCAAAATGTAGAGATCACGCGATGGTGTATATACCCTCTTGATCTCTTCCAACAAAGTATTTTTTATACACCGTCAAGAATCAAACTCGTGTCAGCATTTTTTATTTCTTTAACTTCTAACAACAAAGCAACTGCTGTTCAACAGCTTAATCATCCATAAATTTGAACAGAGGTTTCAAGATGCGGCTTAATTCTCTCCAAACAGGTGTAGCATGTTGTTTACTGTTGATGGTTTTCTTCATCCTGCGTTTTATATAAGGGAAAAACTATTTGTATGTTACATAAAACAAATTTTCTCTCCTACACACCCTTCGACACTCTTCGATATGCCACCTTTTTCTTTTCTTTTCTTTTATTTTTTCAGGGGTGGAACTCACTAATTAGTCTCTATGACATGAGATAACTATCTCCTTTAACATGAGATTAAAACCCTTTATATAAATCAACAACAATCAGAACAGGCCCATGAGTAAAAAAATATGTTCGGTACTTACTTCCTTGCTTCTAAAGACTGGGAACATCTTTCTCGAAAAAAAATATTAAAAAAATCAACACATCTAATTTTAAATATTTCACCCACCTTTTTATGTTTAATGATGGGAAAAAAAATTCCCATGTTGTAGCAGAATTCTTTCTCCTACTACTGAAACATCAAATTATGTATTTTATATTTCAAAATATGATAAAGCCAACCACATCTTGTGTCTATAGTAAAAAAAAAAATCTCATGTTGCATGAAAACAAAGGGCCCTTTAATGATATCTGAATTTTTTTTTAACCATAAATTTAATAAAGAAATACATACTCCAGTCCACATAAAATATATTGGAGCAGTGTAACTCACTAACTACTTGTCTACCATCAAGTTCCGCCGTTAAAGGTTTGATATATATAATGGAAAATTACATTTAAAACCGTTGTAGTTTTATTTTCTTTTCAAGTATTACCTCAACTTTAGTTTAAAAAGACAACACCAAGGTTTATTTTATACTTTTCTTTTTAATTAACACTTGTCAACCTATCCTCTAACATCCATTTTGCTGAATAAAAAGTCGAAACCACATCATTTCGTGCCTTAAACAAAATTTAACGCAAATATAATTCTTTAATTATGAGAAATAATATTAAAATCACTTTTCTGTACATAAACATTGAAATTTAGTGATTAGATTAATGCTATTTTTTATTATTAAAACCAAATTAAAGAAATTTCTATAATTAAGAGAATAAGTTAATATTAGTTTATATTATTAAAAGGCTAAATTAATTTTATTTTTTTAGAACTGATATCTCTCTATCTTTCAGAAGACATTAACGTCAGGAATCAAATTAATATCAACCAAAATATTAATTTACTTCGAAAAGAATAAAGAACAAAACCGCCTCAGACAGCAAATAAATTAGCACATAGAAGATTCAACGGAAACAAGATAACCTCTTTTAATTTCTTTCCCTTTCTCTACAGCAAACGGTCGTGTGTTAATATAAAGTATAAAATACCAATACACAAAATAATTTCAAATACATACACAAAAAAAGAATGAAAACAGACTGTAATTCATCAAAAATGTTGCTGAGACTGTCATATATAAAAGGAACCGAGCTTTTGTGTTCGCTAAGCAACAATCTACCAATTTTTTTAGTCAAGTTTTTAGCATGTTTTGATTATATTTTGTAAACCATGGTTTGGCCTAAAGGAAAATCAACTCTTTTTCAGTTCCACTAAAATCAAGGTTTGAGACCTAAAATCATGTTCAAACACAACCCAACCAAACCATTGTTTTGTGCCAAACAAGTAATTTGTGGGTGAAACACACCTCAATATGGGATTTTGGATGAGTAAACTATAACCCAACCATGCTAGTTGTTGTAAATGAAACGAGGACATTCAACTTTCTTCATCCCACCTGCTCTTAGGTATCTCTCCAGAGTCTGCAATCACTACTTTCTTTCTGGGTTTTCCACTGTAGGTTCCAGCTCCCCCTTCAATTGCAAACACAATATCCATGCCTTGAACAACCTTGCCAAAGACAACATGGTCTCCATCCAACCTAGAAAGTTTGCATGTAAATTGATATACTAGAGATGATGGCACGATGAACATATATTTTGCTTTTTTAAAGAACAAATTCAAGAGTAGTATCTTCCTACATGAAAGATTATCACATAATATTCGGCCAAATAAAAAATAAAGAGTTTTTGCTGCCTTAAAAAGACTGTTCACAACCTCTACAAATTGGCCAAACCATATGCACTGGCAGGACAAAATAACTTACCAGCTGGCTTTCACCGTAGTAATGAAAAACTGAGAGCCATTGGAATCAGGTCCTGAATTTGCCATAGAGACAACGCCTACAACCGTGAAGTTTTCAAAGAAACAACTCAAACACATACCTTAGAAATGAAGATAAACATCAAGTTTAAAAAGTTATAAAAAAATTAATAAAATGAAAAATTTGCATCCAAGCAAGTATTGTTACACACCAGCGTGAGAATGTTTAATCTTGAAATTCTCGTCAGGAAAGGTGCCACCATAAATAGATTCAGATCCTTTGCCATCATGATGAACAATGTCTCCACCCTGAATCACGAAACCAGATATTATCCGATGAAATGGTGTTCCTTTGTAATGAAGTTTTAAGCTACTTGCACTCTCGCCTTTCTCCCCTACACAATATGGAACACTCCTAGTCAGTGCATGGACCAAACCAAATGGGGGGTTAAATTAATAAACAACAGGAAGAAGAGACTACAACTACCTGTGCACAAAGCTCTAAAATTTTCTGCAGACAGAAAATATTCAATCATTAAAAATTGCAATTTTATAAGAATAGTATAAGCATTACTGTATGTAAATGGCATACATATCCAATGAGGCAGCTTCATCAGGCATTTGAATTTACTGAAACAACGGAAGTCTAGACACCCTCTACAAAGGGTGAAGAAAAGGAATATTTACACACTTTAATTTTTCTACTAAAGAAGCTGACCCTCGATTCATGCAAAATGGAAATTTAGACACTTAAAGCAATTAAGTTGCAGAGTAAAGAGCTTGAAATAGAAGATCAATGACATACCCACAGTTTTCGGTACAATTTGGCCATACAATCCAATCACAATCCTACCTGCAGAAGTTATCGCAGAGTGCAGGTTGTTAATAGCTAACAAGAAAGGAAAAATAGCATACAGCATTTTTGTAATGCTAATTGAGCATAAATTGTTGCGCTTCTACTTGCAACGTCCTCTTTCTAACAAAATTACTTAGTAAGTCAAATTAGTTAAAATGATAGCAACTGGTAAAATTTATAAAAAATCGCTTGACAACCTAAACGCTGTTTATCAATATCAACATCCAAGTATACTCTGTGCGTAATTTCATGTTCCTCTTCTGTTTGCTCCTCAGCCTACATCAGTCATCAGTAAAGGCGAAAGTTTATTATTGACAAAAACCAATAAGCAACAAAGATGGAAGTCATAAGTGGAAACGTTTTTACAAATGACCATCAATTTTCTATATGATGATACACAAGAGTGGCGTAATGTATAAATTTTTAGTGTAGTATTCTCAATATAAGCTTACACACAGATAAGATAGTGGGGAAAAGAACTTCACTTATACTCAGAATGTGACATATACAACTTTGACCAATGAGCCAGCACTAGATAGAAAAATATCATCCTGTTTCTATTTATGTTACGTCCTGCTCACCATACACTCTCATAACCTAGTACCCTTATCTACCACATTTCTATTTAACTCATAGCCTGATATAAGCATTAAATGCATCCCTTACCCTGGACCCTATATAGATACCCCCTCGCTAATACTGAAAAGGAATTATGGGAACTAACATATTCCGTGTCTCCTCCCTCCTTTTGAAGCTCTCATTATCCTATTCTACATTCTTACGCCGAGTTACAAGGAATAGGTACATAGAATTAACCTATAGAGATGGTTCTCTCTTCAAACTGTCAAACCTATGTTTTGTCCCTCTGCTGAGGCACTTTCAGGGCATAGCCTGCCATATCACCCATTTTCTTCTTGAGCTGCTCAACCTTTTCTGCTAGTTTATTGTTGGGAGTTTGAGTCCATTGACTAATTTCATAATTCTAGTACTGCATACATGAGCCCGACCTAAAAAGAACTCAAGCAACTTACTTGAATATAGAAAGGAATGGATTACCATGCAAAGTCATTCTACAACATATCCACAGAATCGAGCCACAAGAGACTCATCCATGATGAAATTAGAATGCATACACCCACCAAGCAGCCATATAATAATAACGATAATAAATACAAGGGCAAGATTTAAAATTAGTCACAGAGCAATACCATTCAATTACATCAAACAATTTAGTTTCCTATGACGTACTTAGGGCACCATTACAGACAATGAAAGCAAAATTAAAGCACCAAAACTCACATTTTGATTTCATCCTATCAGAAACAAACAGTGAAAGTGAAGCTTCAGATTAGTGAAAACATATGGCAAACCAAACCCCATCAAAATAACAATAATATAAACAATATAAGACCAAACATTTTGCACGAATTTCGGTCCAATTACCCAAATCAGATCCACAATGACAACAGTATACGAATAAAGGGTTAAAGGGCATACCCGTCTAGATCCAGAGATTGCGAAAATGAGGAAAATTGAGAGAACAAGGAGGAGAAGGAGACATCGCGGCTGAACGAGAAACGCGATCTCTCTCCGCATTGCTTCACTACCCTCTTTACTCAGTTATACCCAATCAAAGAAAAATCGAAACTTTGTGATCCTCCATCACTGATAGTTTACTGGGTTTGTCTCTGACCTAAAAGGGTAAACGAAAACATGGGTCACTTTCTCAGTGCGCTGTTGCTGAAGCCGAAGGTGGTTCAATCTTGCAGCAGAGGGTGGTGTGAAACACGAAGAAATAAAAATTAATTACTTAATTTAATTTAATTTAAATCAGAACATAAATTGCAATTGACGAACTAAAAATTGATTTTAGTGCATGTTGGTCAACAATATTAAAATAAACTCTGAAATACATCAATTCAAACACCCATTTTTCATCAAATTCTAAAGTGCAGTGTATGGTGGGAAAACTCCACATGGAATGAAATTAGCCCAAAAATAGTGCAAGTAAGAATTTTCCGATTTCATGAAAAAATTAATTTACAGTCAGGTTACACTTGCAAATTTCTTATAATAATTTTATTATTATTAGATTAAAATTAAATCAATAATTATTAATTAATATCATTATATTACTGTTGATTTGATTTTTGTTTTAATAATAAAAAAATTATAAGAAATTATAAAAAAATAATTATAACTTCCCTTATAATTTGTATAATTATTTATATCGGACAATGTATGAAATATTTTTTATATTATTATTTAGACAAAAGACATATAATTTTGTCATTTTAAAAAAAAGAAAGACATAATTTATATTTCGTATAGCACGAGCCTAGGTGAACTCAAATAAAGCAATGCCCGATAAGTATTAGTACTTGTACCCGAAACCCGTTATAGGAGTTCGGAATATGGCCTTGACCTGCGTTTTAGTGGCACACGGGGACCCTACCACGTTCTTAGTAATGACATTACTGATAACTACCACGATGATTATAACTCTTAGTAATAACATATATAAGGATCTTAAACAAGTTAATAAGGACAGATTACGTACAAGAGATTAAACCTTTAATGATCATATCGAATAACTTAGTATTTTTTTATTTAAAGTTTAAATTTAAAAAAAAAAATCACTAACTTGTTCTCCAGTAATTTTTATTACTTATGTTTTTCTCTTATTTAAAATAATATAATTTCATACTTGTTATGGACCTGACAAAGGCCCGTATTCTAGAAGGACCAATAAAGGACAGCACAAAAGGAAGGGAATCTCCTATTAATGACAATCCTATCCAGACAGCTAAGCAGTTGGACTTGGGCCCCCAATATTCCTAAGAGGCCCAAAATTACACTCCTTCAGGTAACCCATTTATAAATACGGGGTTAAACCAATAAGGTACACACACTCTCTAAACCCTCCCCCTTAGCTTGTCACTGTGCACACACCTCACGCCTTGATCATATCGATTATTATTGTGCACAGTGATCAGCCTACCCTCAAGGGTATCTCATTCATAGATACTTGAGGGAGGGCACCTAGATCCTACATAAAATATACCAGCCACCGGTTGGACATCTCTGTCTTTCAGACAGAACAATATTCTTTTAAAAAAGGACACACTCATTTTATTCAGTTTAATGTCTGATTAGTACACTCCTTATCCGGGGTTCGGGATATACCACTGTTGTAAAACCCGGCCTGACCTGGCTGGGTTGACTCGGAACCCGGCGAATCGGTCTAATGATCGATTCGGGTCAAGCATTGGACCGGTCATGCATCGACCCGGTCAAATCCGATCAAAACCCAGACAAAATCGGCCAAACTCGGTCAAAATCGGTGACCCGTGACCCGGTCGGGTCATGCATTTAAAAAAAAATCAAAAAATAAAAACTGTTCATCTTATCAAAAAAATGTAGAACTCATTTTATTTTATTTTTTGTAATTTTATTTGCTAGTATATTCTTCTACAATGATATCAAATTTCAGTTTTCAATACTGATGTAATTTGCGGAATAATAAATTAAGAGAATGTGACATATGTCATTTTAATGTAGTTGAATTTGAAAGATATGATTTCAATGCCATTGAGAGATATGTTTATGAGAATTCTGAGTTGCAATTTAAATTAACATAGTAATAGCGTGCATTTTCCTTTATTTATACTTTATGTTTTTGAGCTTAGAAAACCTTATTTAATTCATTTTATATATAAAGAATATAATTGAATTTATATATTTATATATATTTTTTTTATATCTATATATATCTAGATCAACCGATCCGACCAATGACTCAGTATCTCGATCGTATCGATGTTCGAGTCTAGTTTAACAACGTTGGGATACACACATGCTTACTTCCCCGCTATTTTCCTACTCAATCTATTATGTTTCCGCTTTGTTTCTCATAAATGTAGTGGCATCTGACAATTCACACAATTGAATGCCTAGCCATTTAACAAATGAATCTAACGTGATTCCACCTAAAACAAGTAAAACTCAAAAAAGAGATGGTGGGCATTCACTAATCAGATATGAAAAGAGTAAAAAAGAGAGCCTTGGGAAGCTAAAAGCTCAAGAAACAATAACAACTGTCGCCGCCATATACGGCGAAGGTTGCGAAATGTATGACAACGACAGTTAACATTGTTGCGATTCAGTTTTCATAGAACCACCAACGTAATCTAAAACTTAGTATTTGGGTCGGCCCAACTTTGTAATGTCCCAAACGTTTTGTGCAAACAGATTTGGGTTCACATAATCCAATTAATAGCCCTTCTTTTTAGTGAAATAGGTTTTTGAGTTGACTCAAAATTCGTTGAGAACTTGAGACAGCTAAGTCTGAGTTACAAGGGACTGTAATATAAAGACTCAACACCAAAGAAAAATATCAACAACAAACAAATTATGGTAATTCTCTTGATACATGAAAGCTGAGGAGGTGAAGTAAAAGTACATGTTCGATCTAGTATCATTTTGAGAAGGGGTTAAAGTCTTAATTTTGAATTAGTTCCGAACAAGATTCCTTTCCGTAAAAAGTACATGTTCGATCTAGTACCATTTTGAGAAGGGGTTAAAGCCTTAATTTTGAACTAGTCCCGAACAAGATTTCTTTTCGTAAAAAGTACATGTAATTATAAATAAATAAACAAATTTAGAAACCAAATTATGCTATAATTATTGTTCAAATATTATTTTATAAATACATTTAACTTTTTTTAAAGCAAATATATTTATTCATAATATATATCACATGATTACGTCATAATACAAAAAAGTTTACACAATTTAAAAAGTGAACTTATTTTTCTAGAAAGAAATAGTGACCAGTAATTTGTTTAAATTACTGCTAAAACATACACCTCAATTATGACAAAGTATGTTTTGTTTAAAAAGAAAAGCCTATTCAATAACAAAAGAATTAAAATTTCAAAACAATGTTTTTTAATGTGTTATAAGATTGGTTTAATTTTTTGTAATAATCATTATCCTTAACTATCATTCTCAACATTCTTGATATATTTTATCAATCACAAAACAATAATCTGTATTTCGTGCGGAACATAAAAATCTTCATGCAGTACTCCTCTGTGATGTTGGTTGGTAGTTCTTTGCACCGTTAACTCATTCCATATTATTATTTGGCGACTGCACCTACTTTATAAAGGAACTTTGTAGCGAAAATTGGCATGTTCGTATGTTAATACATGATGAAACATTAGAGCGAGGAAATTCCTTAAATTTATAAGGGACATGGTGTTACTTAAGGTTGTTTATGGGTTAGGTCGGGTCAAATTTTTGTGTCGTTTCGTCCAACTTAATTTTTATAGGTCAGGTATTTTAACTCGATCCGGTTTAATTTCATCCAAGTCAGCTCTGACTTGATTTGAATTTTTTTGAATTAGTATAGAACTGAATTAGATCTGACCTGACTAGGTTTCTAAAGTGGGTCTACCTTGATTTCTGAAATGGGTCAAATCCGACCTGACCCGTTTTTGATTTGGTTTCAAAACATGTTTTTAATTTGATTTTTTTTTTAGTTATTGAATTATTTTTTAAACTCGTGTAATTTAATTATTTAATTGTTTTAAAAATATATAATTTTTATAATAAATTTGATATTTGTTGAATAAATAACGGAATGTAATTTTTAACCTCCAAAAAAACGGAATGCAATTTTAAGCCCCCATGCACATGTGAAGTAAAATTAGTGAAAATTAATGAAAAGTAAAGGATGAGAGAACGCTCTTCTCATCTTAAGATAACAAATCACTAATTTTAATAATGATATATTATAAAATTATATAATGTCTACTGATAGGAAATTCATAAATTCAAACCCAAATTATACAATTATTATTATGAAAAGATCAATTAGTTTAAGGCAACTCTTGGCTAATATGATTGTACATATATAATTTTAGTTATCAACTACAAAGAAAATAGAAAATGTAAAGGAATTAGATTGATAAATAGCGACATATTATATAGGTAGAATGGTTGTATAGAAATTTTTTCATTAAAGTAATAATTATAACTCCACACATAATGACTCAAACAAAAATTGGACAAAGAAGTAGTTGCTAATTTGCTGAGCTCAATCGGCAGCGAGCCTTCAAGATTATTATGCGAGACATTTATGAAGATTCTCAGTTACCATGCACCTAAATTTTACCAGAAAAGCTATGATGTAATAGCCATTAAAATAAAATAAAAAATGAAGGAATAGAGAGAAAGGAAATCTACTGCTTGTTATGAAATGAAGGAGGCGATGTTGGAAGGATCAGAGAGTTAAATTCATAGTCAATAACAAAAACCATTATAGCAAAACATGGCATCAATCAGGTATTAATGCATATCATATCATATGGGTTTAAATTAATCAAGAAGCTCGGGATTGAGCACAAGAAAAGTTGAGAAGCATATGGGAGATCCTCTTTGGTGGAGTGCAAGAATGTGACAGAGAGAAGAGAGAACCATAATTATGATTTTTTTCACATAATGTGTATGGGTCAAATTTTGGGTCAATGGGTCATTATTCAAACAAGTCAGGTCTAAAACTGACCTAAATAAAAGTGGGTTAGTACTTAAACCCAATTAAAAAAAGTATTTATGAGTTAGATCAAGAACAGTGCAAGTGAACCAGTTTTTTTGCACACCCTGTTACTCAATGTTATTAAAAGCCACCTGATTAATATTCATATAAATAGTTGTTATTACTAAAAATCAAAACATTATTTTAAAAATAGTATTCAAACAGGCTCTT